TGGATAGATACCTAGTAGTAGAATTGATGGGTTGTATGGTGTTACACTGTAGAGTAAGCACTGGACTTCTAACCACAAGACCAGTGGTTCAAACCCACTAGCTGCTCCTTGGAAACCCTATACAGGGTTGCTATGAGTTGGAACCAACCCAGCAGCGCTTAACAACAACATGATAACTCTGTTTAGTTGGTTTTTGAACTCAGTCTGGCAGTTCCACAAACAACATAAAACCCAGCAATTCCACTCTTAGGTTTCTATCCAAAGGAAATTAAAGCATATGTTCACACTAAATCTTGTACACAAGTATTCATAGCAGCATTATTCTTAATAGCCAAAAAGCAGAAACAACCCAAATGTCCATGAAGGATAAAATGTGTTATTTTCATAGAATGGAATATTATTTGGTCAAAAAAAGGAAAGAATCATCAGCTACATGCTCAAATTTATGATATAAGTAATTCTCAAAGTGAACACTGAGTGGCTACTAATTTGCTACCCCTGCTAGAGAGTAAGATCCCCTAAGAACTTGATTGAACCTCAGCATAGTGATCCTGCTTGGTCACCTTAGAGCAGGTGGTGGGCCAGCAACGTCTGGTGCATGGGGTCCCCAGCCGATCTCCTCCCTCCCTGCCTTCCTCGGATGGTGGCTGTTTATGCTGGACGTGTGGCCAGAGACGGGTAAGGATCACGTGGAACCTCGGCAACTTAAGACAGAGCCATTGCCATGCTGCAATGAGTTTCAATGACTGGTAAGATTGAGGAATTCGCACTGACCGCCTAAGACAGGCAGCGTCCCTTAAACAAACAATAAATAAGGAGGATTCGGATGCAGACCATGCAGACCCGGTCAGGAGGCCAAGCCCCTGTGGGCCCAAGCGTTGTTGACCGTCCAAACCATAGGCTCTGAGGATCAGACTTTAGCTACCTAGTAGACATAGCAAACTGTCCCTCGTCTGATTATTCAGTAATGCTTGTTAGTAATCTCATACATGAGCCCTGGATATCCACAGACAAATGTAAAAACCTTCCCTAAAAGCAGAGACTGTAAATTCCAAAAAGGCAAGTCCCCCCCATCCAAAAAAAAAAAAGAAACACTGTTAACTGATGATATATGGTGATATATGGAGGGGATAATAATCAATGTAATGAAACAAGCTATATGAATGGTTGAATGTGAAGCTGATGATGTGCCCTGTAAACTTTCACTCAATCCAAAATAAAAACATTTAATTAAAAAAAAAAAAAAAGGAAAGAAATACTGATAAATGTTACAACATGGATAAACTTTGAAAACATTATTCTGAGTGAAAGAAACCAGTCACAAAAAACTATGTAATTAATTAATTGTTTTCTTGCTTAAATGTTTGTTTTATCTTGAAATCTACTTGACTTCCTTCCCATTTGGAAGGTCTGTATCTACACTATTCCCGCTCTTTGTTTTGTAGTTGACTTCATTGTACATTGATACCTCTGGTTCCCTGTTTCCAGTCTTGTAGGTCTGTTTTACTTTAAGTACTTCTGTATCTGGATTGGGTTCTGAGTGGTATTGTCATGTATGGTAATCTCATGTTGTTGCCTGCTGTTGTTGGTTCTAAGTCCAAAGAACACCTGTTAGTATTTTTGTTAAAGTTGGCCTGGTCATTATAAATTCCTTTAATTTCTGTTTATCAGGAAATGTCCTAATTTCACCAGTGTATTCGAGGGACAGCTTTGCTGGGTATATGATTCTTTGTTGGCAATTTTTTTCTTCCAGAGTTCTGTATATGTCATCCCATTTCTTTCTTGCCTGCATAGTTTCTGCTGAGAAATAAGAGAAACAAGACTTATTGGTTCTCATTTGTAGGTAACTTCATTTTTCTTTCCTTGCCTTTGATCTTGAAAAGTTTAATTATGATATGTCTGGTGATTTTCTTTCGGAATCTATATTGTTTGGAGTTTGTTCAACTTCTTGTATGCTTTTCTTCTTGTCTTTGTTAGGGAATTTTCTTCCAACAACTCTTTGACATTTTCCTCAAATTTTTTTTAATTATGTCTTCCTGTGTTAGAAGTCCAGTCATCTGTAAGTTGTTCCTCTTCATAGTGTCCCACATAACTCTTAGGCTTTCTTTGGATTTTCCATTCCATTCAGATTGTTCTTTTAGCGTACTAGTATTGACAGACTTATTTTCAAGCTCAGTAATTTGGGCGTCCATTGCTTCACATCTACTTCTTTGCCCGTTCAATGTATTGTCCATTTCTGAAATCTTGGTATTAATCCTATGGCTTTCTAATTGCAGATTTTGTATTGTTTCAAAATTTATATTTATTTTATCAGTGTTTTCCTGAATTCTTCTAAGGTTTTTATTGAGTTCTGGCTTTCATCAATCTTTCTATTAATCCTTTTATGTAACTTTCATTCTTTTGAATTCTTTTTCAGTTAGTTTGCATTACCTTTTACCCCTCAGAAACATTTTCTGGCTCTGCATCTTGCTCATTTGTTTGGGACATTCTTTCTTGTTTCTTTGTTTGAGCTAAAATTGTCTGTTGTCTTTGGAGGCATTGTGGGGTTATCGTATTTGTAAAAACAAGCAGTGCAGTTGTTGAACTCAGAGAGGAGAAATCTCCGGGGGCTCCTGCAATTCAAGGAGCTCATGAGGTGGTTTTAGAAGAGATGTGATAGCAGAGTTCCTGGCCCTAGATGCAATTTCTGTATTGGCCTTGGTGTTATCTATGTTCAGGGCACTCAGTGTGGAAGTAGTTTGTGGGAGCCCTTGATGAAGTTGGTTTCAGTGTTTGTTAGGGCCACAAGGAAGTTAGGAATGACGTGACTGGTTAAATGCTGGTCTGGTGGCTCTGCAGGTTTTGTAGCTCTGGAGTCAAGTCCACCTGAATCCAGGCAACAAATCAGATCACCAACATGGCTAGCCGGCCCCCACCTCACACTGGCATGGCTCCCAACTGTATCCATAGGTGTATTATATTTTGTTGTATTGTTGAACTCTGTTAGCTATAATTTTGTTGAGCTGGGGTTGATAAGGGCGGGAGTTGGCCACACTTCTGGTCATCAGGTGATCATAGGGAAAAAGAAGAAATCAAACCTTTTCTGTCACCTGTGAGAATCTGCTGTACCAAGTTCATACTTTGTACATTCCATGTTCCGATTTTCAATGGATGTATACAGCTGTTTCTCTTCAGTTTGATTTGTGGCCCATTAGCAAATGAAGGTTCTGTGAGCTTTTCTCCACTTGGAGGAGGCATTTTTTTTCCCCAGTCGTATTCTGAGTGCCTTCCCACTTTCCAGTCCTGTATCTGACAGTGTTTCTCTGCTATTCATAGAGTTTTCAGTGACTAGCGATTCGGAAGTAGTTTGTCACTCTTTTCTTCCTAGTCTGTCTTTGTTTGGAAGCTCATCTGAAACCTGTCCACCATGAGTGACCCTGCTGGTTATTTAAAATACCGGTGGCATAGCCCTCAGAATCACAGCAATTCAAACCACCACAGCACGACAGACGAGTGGCGGTTGTGTGGTTGCTGTTAAATAGGAATCTCCTTGTGCTAGGGTCCTTAAGTCCGGCTCAAAGGCAGGATTTCCATCCTCGGATGTCAATCAAGAGGGGGAAACGCAGCAGGGGCGACTGGGTTGTAGTGAGACACTATGGACTGTGCTTATGGGTCTCTAAGTTGGTTGACCCTGACTCAAAGCCACGATCCAACGGTTAGGCTAGGACGGCGCTCTCCGTCTGGGGTAAGTAGGACAGCCTGGCCAGCCCCTACAGTCTCTTCCCGCTAGGCGGCATCTCCCTATAGACCTGGTCTGCAGACACTTCTCACCCCGCTGCTCCATGGTCTGGGTTTCATTTAACACCTCCACAGGTCATAACGACCCTGTATAGGATTTCCTAGGAGCTGAAGTTGAACCTTGGATCTTGTGGTTAACATTCCAGTGCTTACTCAACAGTGCCATATCAGGACTCCTAATAGACATTTAGCTCCTCTGATTCTTTTCTGCTATGTTATTTTGAAGAGCCAGCTGCAACCAGATATACACAGGAGGAGCTTCTTCCTTGGACTCACCCCAGCCCACAAGAAGTTTTGACATAGGAACCAAAAGGCTCATGTCAGGAATGAAAATCAACTGGAATGATGTCATTTTGGCCACATAGAGACCCTTTTAAGAAGTGAGGGGTCTGACTATGACTTCGTGCTAAAATTAGGACCAGTCCCTTCTGAATTGTTTTGTTAAGTGTCATTGAGTAGGTTCTGAATCATAGTGACCCTGTATAGAGTTTCAGAGGAGCAGCTGGTAAGTTTGAGCCATTGACCTGTGATTAGCAGTCTACTGCTTATTTTCCATTGCCACACTGGAACTCTTTATGAATAATGCATGTTATTTCCTTTAAAAGCTTTGAATCTGTATTATTACATCCTTATTCTTACCTAGGAGTCTTGGTGTGGCGCTGTGAGTTATTGCACTGGACTGCAACGTCAGTTTAAACTGTAAGGTCGTCTGTTCAAGCTCCTCAGCGGCTCCTCGGAAACCCTATACAGAGTTGCTATGGGTCAGAATTGCCTTAACAACAATAACAATTTTTCCTAAGCATGCTTCTTTGTTCAGGGAGACGGTGCTTTTAGAATGATCTTCCCGTCTCTTTACTTGTTACAAATAGTGAAGCTTTGCTGTACTAGAATCAACATGACTCTTAAGTTAATCATAACCAGAGAACAGGCAACAAACACCCTGAATTTGGTAACAACTTGCCTGTGTTTTAAACTGCCAAGATTCAGTGGAGCCAGAATGGGCTGCCCAAGATAAGAGCAGGGCCAGGAGCAGACTCCAAGTCAGTTTCATTTTCACTTTTGTTTTCTTTGAAACACAGAAGACACAGGAAGAGACCTTGATTAACAGTGTTCTTTACTCCCTGGACCTTGGTGGTTGGTTGCACAGCCACAGTGGGGTGCTGGCACCACCATCCCACTAGATACCCTGCCTATGAACACTGAAGCCTAACCCAGGCCTCAGAATGGATATTCAGGAACCCTCCAAGTTGTTGGATGAGGAACTGTACTCACGGCAGCTGTAAGCTAGAGGTGAGGTGGGGAATGAGGTGGCTTTCTGACCTCTGAGTTCTAATCACCTGCCCTCCCATTTGCCCACTCCCCATCAACAGGTATGTACTGGGCTCAGCAGCAATGGGGAGGATTCAGGAAGCCAAGGTTCTGCTGTCAGGCCTTCAGGGCCTGGGTGCTGAGGTGGCCAAGAACCTGGTGCTGATGGGTGTGGGCAGCCTCACTCTGCATGATCCCCACCCTGCTTGCTGGTCGGACCTGTCTGCTCAGGTGAGGATCCTGTGGGGGCTGTACAGTCTCACTTCAGGGTGGGAATAGGGCCCACAAGGGGTCTCCCTGCTCAGGCCAGACTGGGCCTCTTTCTAGTTCTTCCTTTCAGAGCAGGACTTGGGGAGGAGCAGGGCTGAGGCCTCTCAAGAGCTGGTGGCTCAGCTCAATGGAGCTGTTCAGGTCAATGTCCATACAGGCTCCATCACCGAGGATTTGCTGCAGGAATACCAGGTGCTCCCTAACCCCTACTCGCCAGACTTGTCCAGTTCCCTCCTCTAACCTCTAGCTAATCCTGCCCTCAAGAGTCAGCCCAGAGGCTCTGACTCTACTGATCAGAGGGTCCCATCTAGGTGGTGGTGCTGACTAACTCAGAGCTGGAGGAACAGTTAAGAGTGGGTAGTTTCTGCCACCAGCACGGGGTCTGCTTTGTGATGGCGAACACCCAAGGCCTTGTGGGGTGAGTGAGACTACTTGCCCGGCTTGCCATATTAAAGCCAGAAACTGATCCAGAATTGTCCCCAGCTCCAGGCTTGCCCCAGTCACCTCTTCTCAGTCCCTCCCAATACTGGTCTCTAAGTTTACTCCACTGCTTCCTGTATCCCTTCTAACTCTAGACTTGCTCCACTAATCCCTTCTAACATTAGCTTCCAAGCTTCTCCCAGCATCCCTTTCCCAATTCTGGTCTTCTGGGCCTGCCTTAGTGTTCTACCCTTAACTACAGCAGCTGAGTCACCTCAATGCCCCCTGCCATCCCACCCCAGGCAGTTGTTCTGTGACTTTGGCAATGACTTCACTGTGCAGGACCCCACAGAGGCAGAACCCCTGAGGGCCACCATCCAGCATATCTCCCAGGTGGGTGCTGAGGTGTGAGCACAACCTGCTCCCCAGAGAGGAGCTGCTGGTGCCTGGTAAAAGTATGTACAGTTGTCCCTGAGATAATCCTCTTCTACTCAGGGCTCTCCTGGTGTTGTCACTCTGAGAGACGCTGATGTCCACAATTTTCAAGATGGGGACTTGGTGACTTTCTCAGGCATTAAGGGCATGGTTGAACTCAATGGCTGTACTCAGTCCATCTGTATACAGGGTAAGTTAGCCCTACTTCAACCCCAGTCTCAGTGCCCAGCTCCCCACTGAGGGAACAAGGTTGGAGACCCAGATGCAAGACAGGACAGAGCATGGGGAACTACTTAGGGTCAGAAGTCATACTGACTAAGTTGGATCTCCTCCAGAAGACAGGACCTTGGAGATTGGAGACACAACAACTTTTTCCCAATACCTTTGTGGTGGGACTGTCACTGAAGTCAAGAAACCCAAGATTGTGAGCCATGTGAGTATAAGTGCATCTGAGATGGGGGTGTTGGGGAGGCTTGCAAGGGCCAGAGCACTCTGGGTCTGAGGCCTTTACTGAGTGCTTCCTACAGGAATCCCTGGCTACAGCCTTGCTGCATCCTCGTGTGGTCCAGAGTTCCCAGGAAGTCCACCGTGCCCACTGCCTACATCAGGCCTTCCGTGCACTGCACCAGTTCCAGTCTGGTCATGGCTACCTGCCAAAGCCCTGGCATCCTGTGAGTGGCTCAGTCACCCCACCCCTCATCAATCAACCCCACCTCTGTTATTGGGGTTTCTCCCCCCAGGAGGTGACAATGACCGTATCACAGATCCAAGTTTGATTCTCAGAGAAAATTTTACCACTTGTAACCAGGAGATGATAAACCATAACTTGAGGCCAGGACCTGGTCCACAAAACTACTGGGCACATGACACAGCAGACTGTGTGTGTGTGCGCGTGTGCTCCTGTGCATGCAAGGGAAAGGGGGTCAACAGGGCCAGGCCGTCCTACTCAGGCTTCTTTTTCCTCTTTTGTGGAGCACTATGAATGACTGCTCAAAGTATTTGTGTTGGGTGGAGCTCAAGCTATGACTGTTGTTCCCATGGTGTCCCACTGCAGGGTGATGCAGAGGCTGTGGTGCGCCTTGCCCGGGAACTGGGACCACTGCAGGGGACACAGGAAGAACCGCTGGATGAGGATCTGGTTCGGGCAGTTGCTCTGTGTAGTGCTGGTGACCTGAGCCCCATGGCAGCCATACTTGGTGCTGTAACTGCCCAGGAGGTGCTAAAGGTGAGCTTGGGCATGGACAGCGTACAGCTGGGGAAACTTTGGGATCAGTGAGTGCCAAACCGTGCAGCACCACAAGAGGGCACCAAACACTAGCTACCTGCCCTGAAGACTTCACTAATTTGAGAGTGCAGCTGCCAGCAAGGATCTGAATGGGTGAGAAGGTGGCCATGGTCTCCCAGTTGAAATACCCATCCGCAGGCAATCTCTGGGAAGTTCATGCCTCTGGACCAGTGGCTGTATTTTGATGCCCTCGACTGCATTCCAAAAGATGGGAAGACCGTTCCTAGTCCCGAGGATTGTGCTCCAGTAAGAACCTTGGGTGGAGATACAAGTCCAGTCCAAAGAACTAAGACAGAGAGAGGAAGAATGGGCCTGAGAAAACTCAGTGTAAGAGGGAGATGCAGTGAAGGCCAGTGGACATCACTGACCCCTGTCTGTTCCCCCAGAGAGGCTGCCGCTATGATGGGCAAATTGCAGTATTTGGGGCTGATTTTCAAGAGAAGCTGAGCTGCCAGCACTACTTCCTGGTGAACTGTGGGCTGAGGTTGGGAGTGTCTGTGGGAGGGCTAGTCCAGAACATCAGGGCTAAGGCCTCTCCCTCTGGCAGGTGGGTGCAGGTGCAATTGGCTGTGAGCTGCTCAAAGGCTTTGCCCTAATGGGCCTGGGGACCAGTGGTAGAGGGTGCATTACTGTTGCCGACATGGACCACATAGAACGCTCCAACCTCAGCCGTCAGTTCCTCTTCAGACCCTGGGACATTGGTGTGAGTGCCAACCCTTCCCCACACTCATGTTTGACTGCCCCACAAATGTACCTATAAATACCTTTCTACCTTCTTTCCAGAGGTCCAAGGCCAAAGTGGCTGCAGAGGCTGCCAGTCGTCTGAACCGAGGCTTGCAGGTAACCCCACTCACCCACACTTTGGACAGCACCACGGAGAACATCTATGGGGACAGCTTCTTCTCCCATGTGGATGGTGTGGCCGCTGCCCTAGACAGTTTCCAAGCCAGTGAGTGCTCAACCTTGGAACTCAACCCTTTGTCCAAGACTGTGCCAGTCCCACCTTTGACCCTCTGCTCCCCTTGCCAGGACGCTATGTGGCTGCTCGTTGTACCCACTATCTGAAGCCATTGCTAGAGGCAGGCACCCTGGGCACCCAGGGCAGCGCATCAGTGTTCATTCCGAACGTGACTGAAGTCTACAAAGCTCCTGCCTCAGCTGCAGTTTCCAAGGATGACGCCAACCCTGTCTGTACTGTGCGGTTCTTCCCCAGCACAGTTGAGCACACTCTAGAAGTGAGAAGTACCCCCAGAGACCCTGACTTTGCCTGGCCTAGCCCTCTGCTATAAACCTGTTCCTTACCTGACACCTTGTTGCTCCTCTTTTTCTGTAGTGGGCCCGGAATCAGTTTGAGGGGCTCTTCCGACTGTCTGTTGAGACCATTAAACAGTAAGGCCACCAAACAAAGTAGATGGGAATCCAGTTTCCCTAGGACCAGAGTCTGCATGATTCCATCTCCAGCTTCCCCCTCTTTCCACAGAGCATCCACTTCCCTGACAGACATGGATGGGTCACAAGTGCTGACTCTACTACAACCAGTTCTGGGTGTCCTGAGGGAGCGCCCGCAGACCTGGCAAGATTGTGTGGTGTGGGCACGTGGCCACTGGCAGCTATGCTTCCATGACAGCATCATGCAGCTCTTGAGATACTTCCCACCTGAAAAGGTAGGCATTTGGCAGCTGGGGGGCTGAAGGCTCAGGGGGACCAGGAAGATGGCCAGCCTGAGGTCAGCAGACTCTACTGCTCTAGGTGCTTGAGGATGGAACTCCCTTCTGGTCCAGTCCCAAACAGTGTCCCCAGCCCCTGGAATTTGATGCCAATCAAGTGAGTAGAGTCCTTTGGGGACTTCTAAGATGGGGATGTGGCCATTCTGCAGAGATGCACATGTGCCAAGAGAGACATGTTTACACACATGTGGCATCCACATGGAAAGCAGAGACAGGCACTCAAACAGATCCACAGATGAGTGCTACTCCCCTCCCCTAATCTCACATACATGCTTACTCAAGTCCACAAATCTGCCCCTACTCTGGGTCTCACTGCAGGACATGCACCTCTTCTATGTGCTGGCAGCTGCCAACCTGTATGCCCAGATGCATGGGCTGTCTGGCTCAAGGGATCAGACTGCACTCAGGGAACTGCTGAAGTCACTGCCACTACCTGGTCCCCAGCACCTGGCCCCTGTCTCCTCAAGTGACCTGGAGCTAGCTCAGGCTTCCACCAAGTTTGGTGAGGCCCCTGGCCCTACCCCTCATGCTATCACTCACTGGTCTGACTCCACCCTCAGTCTGCATTGCAGAGGAAGATGGGGTCTGGGGTCCCTGCAGCCAACTCATTGTCTCTTAGAGGGCCCTCTGGTCCTGCTTTTTTCTAGACTTGGCACTGTCCAGTGGCCCCACTGCAGGCCCTCTCACTGCCATATCCTCAGCACCCTCAGCTCTCTTTATAGATTTTCAGCCAAAAACCAAAAACAATCCATTGATCCTGGGTATCCCATTGAGGACAGAGTCGCAATCCATGGGTGAGGTCTGGGGCTGCTAGAGATGAGATTGTAGCACCAATCAAGGGGGCTGGGCTCCTTGAAAGTGGTCAGTGATAGCCTTGGTAGAGACCAATAATAGGTGTCAGGCTACAAGAACAAGTGCTGGAGAACAGAACTCAAGACTGTCCCAACACATACCTCCCAACCTTGGTAGACCCTGAGCAGTTGGAAGAACTTCAAAAAATCTTGGAAGTCTGGAACAAAGGACCTCTGGAGCCCCTGCTGTTTGAGAAGGTAGGAGACCAAATAGGACTAAGGGGTTAGGCTGTGGAGGCTGTGGAGGGCTGTCAGGAGATAAGATGGCTTTGGAACCCTTTGGTTTGAGTTCTCCCAGTAGGGCCCCTGGAAGCATCTCAGTCTCCTATCTGATAAATTGGGAGCATTCACAACACAGAATTGTGTGAAGACCTTTGCAGTGGCACATGGTTGGCTCTGGTAAAGGACAGCTGTTGCAGTGTGAATACTACTTATGACTTGGGCCTCACAGGATGACGACAGCAACTTCCATATGGACTTTGTGGCAGCAGCAGCTAGCCTTCGTGCTCAGAATTATGAAATCCAACCAGTCAGCCGTGCCCAGGTAACCCTGCCACTTGGGGCTCAGGCCTGGAGAATGGAGGTAAAATACTAAATCTATACCTCGAGTCTGAACTGAATCTCCTATGCCCGGCAGAGCAAGCAGATTGTGGGACAGATTATCCCAGCCATTGCCACCACCACAGCAGCTGTGGCAGGCCTGATGGGCCTGGAGCTGTATAAGGTAGTGAGCGGGCAGACATCCCTTGGTGCCTATCGCCACAGCTATCTGCACCTGGCTGAAAACCGCCTGAACCGTTGGGTACCTTATGCCCCAGCCTTCCAGATGGTAAGCCCTTGTTTTCCCCACGCTCCCTGGGTTTTTCCAGCTCTGATCCAGTCAGACAGGCCCTACTCTAGCCTTCATCTGGACTCAGACTATGGGGGAGTCCTTAAGACTCCCTCCAACCTCCTTCCTGCTGCACAGCCAGGCTGGGACCTGTCAGACACAGGAAGCAGCCGTCAGCCACCTCCTACCCCCCACCTCCTGCAGTGCAGGGGTCTGGGGGAGCTGCAGCTTTAACTCATTAGTAGTGCCAGACATCTCCTCCCAGCCCCCCTCCTTAGGAGAGCCCTTGAAGGGAGAGTCGTAGGAGGGGGCACTAGGGCCCCAGCCCCAGACAGAGCCTAGCTAGCTTCTTGCTTGGTATCGGGGCCCTTGTGGGTGGGGGCTGCAGCCCTGAAGGGATATGCATGTTCATTATTACTGGTGTTAGTGCACTGGGGTCTGGACATCCCTGGTCCTGCCTGGGTATGTGGGCATGGAGGGAGCAGGATTGCACATCTGTGTACCAGATGAGAATGCAGGGCTATTCTTCAATATAGGTGTGTGTATGGGTATACATGCAGATTTTCCTTCTTGTTGTTATTGTTAGGTGCTATCAAGTTGGTTCTGACTCATAGCAACCGTATATACACAACAGAAGCAAACACTGCTGGGTCCTGCGTCATCCTCACAATTGTTACACTTGAACCCATTGCTACTGCCACTATGCCAATCCATCTTGCTGGGGGTCTTCCTCTTTTTCACTGACCCTCTATTTTACCAAGCATGATGTTCCTTATTATTGTTGTTGTTAAGTACCGTCAAATCGGTTCTGACTCATAGCAACCCTGTATATGGTTTCCAAGAGCGGCTGGTGAGCTTTAACTACCGACCTTGTGGTTCAAGCCGACTTTGTAGTCTAGCGCATTAACTCTAAGCACTGAGGCATATATATTTCTTCAGGTGCAGAGATGTGAATGCTGGACTGTGTGACTTTTCCTTGGGCCACAGGATGGAGTGGAGGGAATTCTCACACTAGGGAAGAGGGCAGAGGTCATGAAAGGGCACTGGACTTTTGCTGAGAAGCTCTGGGGTCCCTCTAGGCACAGCACACAGAGCTTCTTTGTGAGGGCCAGACTCTTGGCAGCACATTGGATGCCTTTGTCCATGGTGGAGGGTGAGAGGAGGAACTCCTCATCTGGCCTCCTCTCAGCTTAATCGCAGGGTGGTTTCTTGGGGGGAGGGGGCTGGCAGGGCCTTCATATTCTGATGCCTGGCTACCTACCACCCTCCTACCCTCAGCACTAGGCGACAGAACCCAAAAACCCTTGGAAAGAAGGAAAAAGAGAACAGAAAGAGAAGGCCCCGATGGGTAGTGTCCCTGTTGGAATCTCTGAGCCAGGGAGCCCCAGTGGTCATTGTACACCTTGCCTCATGTGCCATGATGAGGCAGGATGGGGAACAGGATGTGCCCCTCAGCTACAAGTTGCCTTATCAGACTCCAATGGCCCTGCCCCCACTTCCTCAGGAAGCACACTCCCCCGTGCCCCCCCCCCACCGCCGCACAACACACACATATACACACAAGACTGACCTGTGTGATGGATCGCTTGTTTCCCTTTGCGGGGCCCCAGAGCCCCGTTTCCTGTGCTAGCCCCAACACAGGCGAAGGCTGAGACTCTGGGCCCAGAGCCCACCTTCCACCCACCCCCTAGCTCTGCTTCCTGCCTCCCAATAAGTCCAGCTCCTCCCCTAGAAAAGGGGCCATTGGCTGCTAGTAACTGAGGTTGGGGTGAAGGGAATTGTAAGAGGTCTCTCACTCCTTCTCACCCCTCCCAGTTCCATCACCTGACATGGACCTGTTGGGACCGCCTGAAGGTGCCTGCTGGGAAGCCTGAGAGGACTCTGGCATCGCTGCTGGCCCATCTCCAGGTGTGCCCCGTTCCTGTCTGCCTTCAGGCTCAGCCAGATATGGCCTGGCCTGACATTTGACTTCTCTTTCCTCTAGGAGAAACATGGACTGCAGGTGAGGATGCTCCTGTATGGCCGAGCTATGCTGTACTCAGTGAGGTGGTCCCCTGACAAGCAGGCCCAGCATTTGTCTCTCAAGTGAGTCTATGCCTAAATTCAGGTAGACCCCACACCATTCCTGGATGTTGGTGTTAGGGGCATAAGATCTTTCCTCCTCCGACCCCCACTCTGGGCCCCTCACACCTTCCTGAAAATTTCTTTTTCCAAATGGAGCCAGCAAATGGGCTGGGGGCGTGGCAAGGAACTGCCTGCTTGGCCAGCCCCACTAGCTCCTCCACACCACACACAGCCCCCCTTTCACAGCCCACTCCCAGGGGACCTGTGGCTTCCTGCCTCCTGCCCGCCCCACCAGCCACTCCTAAAATAGTTTCAGATGTTTCCTGTCTTGAGTTGCTCCTACTCCTGGCTTTGGCTCTTGATGGCTCGTCAGCACCCTTTAGTCCATGCCAGGTCACTTGCCCTCTGCCTGCTATTGTTCACTTATTCACTCCCCATGACTCTACCCCCACTCCCAGGGTAACGGAGCTGGTGCATCGAGTGACAGGCCAAGTGCCTGAACCAACACAGCAGGTGCTGGTACTGGAGCTGAGCTGTGAAGGTGAAGAGGAAGATACTGCTTTCCCACCACTGCACTATGAACTGCGTCAAGGCAGCAGCCCTTCTGACTCTACCAAGCCCATACCTGCATGCTGAGCCTATAGCAGCCTATCGCATCCTGAGCCCTATAGTTTAATAAATGCTTATTAGACGTAAGTGAAGACAATGGATGATGAAACACATGGAGTGTGACAGGGACCCCCACCAGGAGGAAAAAAATTCTTCAGACTCTCTTGACTGGGGTTGAAGCTGTTTCCTGGAGCCTCAGGGGTATGGAGCAAGGACAATCTAGAAAAAGGCCTTTATTGTCCCCAGGCTGGGGGAGCAGGGTCAGAGGTAGCTGATGACATCATTGCAGATGATGGGCTGGCGGCTGCGACAACTCATGAGGGCAGCAAAGCGTGAGATGTCTGCAGGCAGCTCAGGTTCAGGGCGAGGTGGGCATGACAGCCGCTTTCCTGCCATGGCTGCCCGTCGTGCCCCAGCCAGCCGGCGCCGCAGCTGCTCAGAGAGGCCAAGCAGAAATTGTGGGGGCCGTGTGCGGGAACGGGGCCCACCCCCACTAGCCCCCTCATTTCCCGCCTCAGGCAGCTCCATCCAGTTGTGCACTAAATCGGCAAAGCAGTTGTCCCCCAGTACCAGTGGCTGGCGACTTCGACCCCTGCTCAGCAGGGCTGTGGTCCAGTCCTCTGTGTCCAGTCCCTGCCAGTGCTCCAGGCAGGCATCTGGGGTGGATTTGGGCCGTGGCCGAAGGGCAGGTGGTGCACTGGCCAAAGAGGCCCTGTTAGGCAAGGGGAAGCCACTGGCTGAGAGGCGCTGGCTATGAGGGGGCCTGGCTGGGGGTGCTGGATGCTGGAGTACAAGCAACTCTTCCTCTCGCCATGTGCTCCCTGATACCTCTGAGAAGCCAGAGTCCCAGTCTAGGGTGTGCTCCCTAGGCCCCCCCAATGCTGCATCCCTGTCCCCTGTCATCACAATTTCTTCCTCATCCTCCTCTTCCACACAGCAGGCAGAGTCTTCTTCAGAGGCGTCTGAAGCCCTGAGTTGGTAGCTGGGCCTTACACCTGGGCCAGGTTTGGAGGGTGGCCGCAGGGAACCAGGCATCTGAGGTGACCCTGGGTCCCGGCCACACACCTGCAGAAGAGAGGGCACAAGTTGGCGCAGTGCTTATTAGCCCTGTCTGCCTGCCTGGCCAACCCAGTCCTCAGAACAGAGGGCCAAGAACAGTCTATTGCCCTGGGTGGCAAGACGGCTGAGGGGCACATGCTGGTATTGGGTTGCTGGCACACGAAGACGTGTGGTTCTCATCTGTCGACCTGGTGGCAGTCCGGCAGGCTTCAGCACGCAGGGCCGGGCAAGTCAACACCCGCCACTAAAGAGGGCGGGCAGGGGTGCGGGCCTGCCCAGGGAAGTAGGGCCTGCCCATTGCTGGGGGGTGGGATCCGGTACCTCTTGGGGGATTCAACTCTCCCAAGACTGCAGCTTCTTTCAGAGAAGGATACAGTGTTTGCAGATGAAGAGCGGAGGAAGGAGGGGCAGCCAGCCTGGAGTAGGGGGAATACACAACAGCGCTAGTGTCTCTTCAGTCCCTTGCTGTCTCTTGACCGGCCTCAAAAGAAGTTTTTCCCCCAGCACCACCACTACCCCCAGCCGCCCCGGCAGCTTGGCCAGCTGGGCGGCTGTTACCTGATGCCCAGTGTAGCTCCCAACCGTCCGAAACCTGACGCGGGCCATCTGGACCATATGCACTGCCCCGCCCCCATCCCTCCTCAGATGGGCACTCGGGACAACCCCACCCGTCCACGTTCGGGACAAGCAGCAGCCGAACACCCGCACCCTTCCCCACGAACCACACCAGCGCCCAATCCTCACCAGTTCCCAGCGAAGGTGGCCCAGAAAGCTGTCAAGTCGAGCGCTGTGCATACCCGTGCCGGAACCTCCAAAAGGCCTACCCGCTCCTCCTAGAACCGCTGCAGAAGCGACGCGGAGAGGGCCCGGCGGGCGGGCCAGCGGGGCCCTAGCCCTCCGCCTATATCCACAGCTACTCGCTCTCCGTAGCTCCCGCCGCCGCCCCAACATCTGGCTGCAGCGCCCCGCCTCCCCGGCGCTGCCGTAGCCCATAGGGGCGGGACGGTAGAAGTTGATCCCGCCCCTCACGCCCGGTGGGGGCAGTGACCAGGGCGCCTCCTCAGCCCGCTCAGCCTCAGCCTTCGAGGGAGAGGCGGGGTTATAGTTGGTAGCTGGATGTGGTACGACCTGGGACCCGTATCTCAGACGCCCTGAGTCGTCGAGCTAACGCGGGTTTCGCTGAATGACCTGGAGCAAGTCGAATCTTCTGCAGCTGCCTCTGCTTCCTTATCTGTCTAAAGGTGGAATAGCGGTCCCTTCTAGGGAGGTCTGATGAGCGCAGGTTCCCCTCCTGCGCCCACGGGCCTGCTCCGCGGGGCAGTGAGCGTCCCGGGTCGTCGGGCCCGGCCATGCTGTGGCTCAGGGCGGGACCCGCTACTTTGGAATCTCGACAATCGCTGGAAGTGAAGAGAGGGCGACTCGGCCCCTTGGTGTTTGGGGGAGGGAAAGGGGAGATGAGGAACTTTGCGTCAGCTCAGAGGAAGGCCCTCAGCCGAGGACAAACTTCGGTTAGTGCCGGGTCGAGCTAGGCTTGGTCGCCCCCTGGTGGGGAACGAGCAATTAGCCTCTAGTCCAGCAGCTATACACTGATCCAACGCATCCCCAGTGTGCCACCCCTCTGTGGGGCACCACGTGTTGACAGGGTTAGTGGGACGCGGCGGGAGGGGGGGAATGAAAGGGTGCCACTTATCTGTCGAGGTGGTCAGAGTATCTTTAAGGCGTATTTGTGATCGGATGCTAGGCTCAAAAATAGAGTCTAAGTAGAAACATATTAGACAGGTAAATATTGGGGAATGAGGACCATAGCTAGCTGGGGGAGGAACCTCTCAGAGGAGGTGGTAATCAGGATGGAATCTGGGTGAAAAAACATGGGGCAAACCCGAAGAGGGGCATTCTAGTCATTCTAGGTGGAGGGACCAGTCAGACCCTGAGACAGAAGAGATCCCAGGTCTCTGTGATTGGGGGTCACGGGTAAAGTGATGAAGAGTGAAGTGGTTAGCAAAACCAAGCTTCTTTAAAGAGGAATCCAGTTCTGTTCCGGGTGTGATGGGGAGCGTTGGAGTTCCTTGAGCAGGGAATTACCTGGCCTGGCTTCTGCTTAAATAATTCTGACTGCTGCATGAAAACCAACTGTGTAATTCAGGCAAAGGAGGGGATGCTGATGCATGGATGTGGATAGGAAAAAAATAAGGTATCAAGCATAACTCCTAGCTTTCTGGCCTGATGGCGTTGCCATGCACTGATCTGGGAAAGACTGAAGGAGAGTGAGTCAGGGGAGGAAAATTAAATGATCATTTACAGATTTGAGATGCCTGTTAGACATTCAGGAGGGAGTGTGGTGTTGACTTCTGGATGTGTGACTCAAGTTAGGATTGAGGCCAGTATTAGAGCCTTGGATCTGGGAAGTAAAATAAATGCATGTTATTTAAGACCTGTATGTGATGGGATTTTCAATGGATGTTTACAGCTGTTTCTCTTCATTTTGAGTTGTGGCCCATCAGCAAATGAAGGTTCTGTGCGCTTTTCTCTTTTCACATCATCATGGTCAACTCTACTTTGAGGAGGCATTTTTTTCCCAGTTGCATTCTGAGTGCCTTCCCACCTGAGAGGCTCATTTTCCAGTCCTGTATCTGACAGTGTTTCTCTGCTATTCATAGAATTTTTCAGTGACTAGCGATTCGGAAGTAGTTCGTCACTCTTTCTTCCTAGTCTGTCTTTGTCTGGAAGCTCATCTGAAACCTATCCACCATGGGTGACCCTGCTGGTTATTTAAAATACCGGTGGCAGAGCCCTCAGAATCACAGCAATTCAATCTACCACAACAGACGAGTGGTGGCCGTTTGGTTTTATGTTGAAACTGTCACTTTAAATTTTGATATCAATCCTGATACAATCAAGATGTTCTCTCCTGATACTATCAATCAGGATACAATCAAGATATTATGTCCCAAGATGGCGGCTCTAGGAACAGCTGAGTGTCTTGAACCAGAAAACAATGGATTTCTGGATTCTCCTGCAAATTCCCCAGCTATAAATCCTCCGATCCTCCAAACATACCTCCAAACATACATTGTTTCATTTCAGCGTTCCAACACCATCCCATATTCAACCTGTATGCTGAGCAAATAATACAAGAAGCTGGGTTCTATGAAGAAAAACGTGGTGTCAGGATTGGAGGAAGACTTATTAACAACCTGCGATATGCAGATGATACAACCTTGCTTGCTGAAAGTGAAGAGGATTTAAAACATTTACTGATGAAGATCAAAGAACACAGCCTTGGGTATGGATTGCATCTCAATGTCAAGAAAACAAAAATTCTCACCACTGGACCAATAAACAACATTCTTATCAATGGAGAAAAGATTGAAGTTGTCAAGGACTTTATTCTTCTTGGATCAACTATTAACATTCACAGAAGCAGCAAGCAAGAGATTAGACGACGTATTGCATTGGGCAAATCTGCTGCACAGGAACTTTTTAAAGTGTTGAAGAGCAAAGATGTCACCTTGAGGACTAAGGTGTGCCTGACCCAAGCCATGGTATTTTCAGTAACCTCATATGGATGCGAAAGCTGGACAGTGAATAAGGAAGATCGTAGAAGAATTGATGCCTTTGAGTTGTGGTGTTGGAGGAGAATACTGAAAGTGCCATGGACTGCCAAAAGAACCAATAGATCTGTTTTGGAAGAAGTGCAGCCAGAGTGCTCCTTGGAGGCCAAGATGGCTAAACTTCGTCTCTCATACTTTGGACTTGTTGTCAGGAGAGAACAATCACTGGAGAGGGATGTCATGCTGGGTAGGGTGGAGGGTCAGAGAAAAAGAGGAAGACCCCCAACGAGATGGATCAGCCAGGTGGCATCATTGATGGCGTCAAGTGTGGTAGCGGTAGTGAGGTTGGCCCAGGATTGGACATTATTTCGTTCTGCTGTCCATGGGGTCGCTATGAGTTGGTTCCGACTCGATGGCACCTGACAACAACAACAACAACAACAATGCGATGGGAGGAGATGTGTGTAGACAAAAGAGGGCAGCAGTCAGGATTAAGTCCTGGAACACTATATTGTTAAGAGGTCAGAGAGATGAAGCAGAACCATTGAAGGAGCTAGGAAGGAGTAGCCAGGGAGGTGGGAGGAAAACAGAGGGTGTGGGATTTGGAAATGAAGAGAAAGTATCACAATCCTGAGAAATCATCAAATAATCCCAAGGAAGTGAGAAAAATTCATTGGATGTGCAGGTCATTGAAGATCTTGACTAGGGACATTTTGTTAATGGAGGGACAAACCTAATTGGAGTAGGTAGAGGAGAGTATGAAATGAACTGGAGAGTGCAAGTATAGCCACTTTTTTTTTTTTAAAGCCAACACCATTTATTATCACACAAATATTTCATAGAAAAAAAGAGGTAGCACACAGGTCAGGGTTGTTCAAGAAAAAACTGAACAGCTTTGTTCAGTTGGCTCTATTTACACCTGGGTGGGGCTCTCCCACATCAGGCACAACAACTGCACTTGTCCGATGGCCCTTTGCAGATGCAGCCCTGGGCACACTTGGCACAGCCCACGGGACAGCAGGAACAGCAGCTTTTCTTGCAGGAAGTGTACTTGTGCTCTTTGCACTTGCAGGAGCCAGAGCAGACACAGGAGCCACCAGTGGCGCAGGAGCAGTTGGGGTCCATTTCGAGCATAGTCAGCAAGATGTGAAGGCAGAGGGGAGGGTCAAGAGAATACCAGGCTTGCAGAAGGCATTCTCATAGCCACTTTTAAAAAATTGACATATAACTTAAATACAATAAATTGACAAATCCCAGAGGCACAAGGAGTACTGCTGGCAGAGTGTTAAGCACTTGGCTGCTAATTGAAAGGTTGATGGTTCAGACCCACTGGCCACTCCATGGGAGAAAAATGTGGCAGTATGCTTCTGCAAAGATAATTGCCTTGGAAACCCAATAAACCCACTGCCATTGAGTTAATTCTAACTCATAGCGACACTGTGTAGGGTTTCTGAAGCTGTAAATCTTTACGGGAGCAGAAAGCCTCGTCTTTCTCTTTTGGAGTGGCTGATGGGTTTTGAAATGCCAGCCCTGTGGTTAGTAGCACAGTGCTTAACCTACAGCACCATTGAAGCTCCTTTGGGAATCCAACAAGGCAGTTCTATTCTATCATGCCTATGGGATAATTAATAAGTTATTAATAAGTCAGTATCAACTCAATGGCAGCAAGTTTGATGTTTTGGTTTTCAGAGGTTGTTGTTAGGTACCATCAAGTCAGTTCTGACTCACAGCCACCCACCATATGCACAATAGAACAAAACACTGCCCAGTCCTGTACTATCCTCATAATTTTTGTTACAGTTGAGTCCATTGCTGCTGCCACTCTGCCAATCTATTTCCTTAGGGTTTTTCTTCTTTGTCACTGACTCTCTACTTTACAAAATATAATGTTCTTATCCAGGGACTGGTCCCTTCTGATAATTTGTCCAAAGTATGAAGTATAAGAGACAAAGTCTGGCTATCCTGGCTTCTTAGGAGCATTCTGGCTATACATCTTCCAACACAGATTTGTTTGTTCTTCTGTCAATCCACAGGAGCTCTGGTAGCATAGTGGTTACAAATTGGGCTGCGAGCCGCAAGGTCAGCAGTTCGAAGCTACCAGCAGTTCCGCGGGAGAAAGATGAGGCAATCTGCTCCCATAAAGATTTACCGCCTCGGAAACCCTGTACAGGGTCGCTATGAGTCGGAACTGACTCCACGGCACATAACAACAACAACTGGCAATCCATGGTACTTTTCAATATT